GCCCACCCAGTCTCCAGGATGGGGCTCCCAGGCTGTCTTCTCCCAGAAGACTTCACAGACTCCTCCCAATCTGGAATTAATCTCTCTTCCCCCCAGCAGGCAGAGGTGATGATGGACGGAACTAATCATTAGCAAACTCTGCAGGCCAAGAAACATCTTTGCTAAGAGTTAAATTCCACCCTTGCTGAAAGAAAGACCTCCCTGTATGTGTATCAAGTCTCCGGGACAGGGCAACTGAAGCAGATGAGGAGGGTCTGTCGTTTACCCCATGGGCTCCCCTTACATCCCAAACACAGGGGCAGTCCCACTGCCTCTGTCCCCGCTGGGTGTTCCCACCACCAGCACTCGCTCCTTCCTCCTTGGGTGGTGGGGTGGGGACAAACTCATCTTCCCGGCAGCCAGCTGTCTCCCCACCCCCCATTCCAAGCCGAGAGAGGAGGAGAGAGAAAAAGAAGCAGCTCGGGAGATAAGCCTCCACATCCCAGAGAGGGCGCAGGGAGCCTAGGCTGAGACCCTCTGCGGAGGCACTCACTTCTGTTGCCTGGACAAGAACACTGGCCTGGGGGCTTGGGCGCGTGAGACCTGGCTTCCAGTTCCAGCATGATCCTTCACCAGCTGTACAACCTTGGGCAAAGCAGTAACTTCTCTGAACTTCTCATCTGTACCAGGGGGATAATGAGCTCTAACGGGGCACGGTGGGGACCAGGTGGGATGGGGACTGAGTGAACTTTGACCGAACCAGAGATGCGAAGTATTGCGGCACTTGTCCCTGGGCGTTAGCCTCCTGATCTCAGAGCTCTGATGGGAAGCAAACTTCTGCCTGGGGGTAGTGGTCACTGGCTCCAGACCCCCGCGGCCCCAGTGGGGCTGGGACCGTGGGACGAGGGCCTGCAGCCTCCTGAGAGTCACCTGACACCACAGCCTTAAGCTGAGGCCTCTCCATCCTCAGGACAATAGACCCCCAACCTCCTTTCCAGATGCGCTGGGTTTTCAGTTGGTCCACAAATGCAGACGCCTGCCACTGGCATCGCTGTGCCCCTGGGGGCCTGCACTGCACCAGGAAGCAGTAAGTCTTGCGAGTCTGCGTGCATGGTTGGAAGCAACCACAGAGGCTATAATTTCCACTTCCCGACACAATACACACTTCTCAGTTTATGCAGAACTAATTAAAGGTCTCTCAGGTCTTGCCATTTCACCCCCCCCAAACACCCATAAAACAATGCGGTGAAGGCAGCCTCCCAATTATAGAGTGTGAGGAATGTGCTTCTCTGGAGCAATCTGTCCCTTTCCCAAATCCCTCCCCCTTCTTGTCCCCCCTTTCCTTCCTGCCTCCTTTCTTCTCCTGCAGCCCAGGTCCGGGTCTGGAGCGCTGCACAGGGTTCCCCGCAATGGGTGGTGCCACCGGAAGGACCCAGGCCAGACTGAGTTCCTACTCTGCCACTTGCGAGCCATGAAACTCTGGGCAAGCCTCAGGTTCCTCATTTGTTAGATGGGAGAACGGTACCAGCCTTGCAGGGCAGTCACATGGAAGGACAGCCTGGGCACACAGTGGGCATTCAGTAAGTGGTGACTACTGCTAAGATTATTTTTATGTTATTATCGTTATTGTAATGACCACCCCTGGGCCTGTGCTCAGATTGTTTCCCTGTCTAAAATGCCATGTCCCTGCAGATTTGCTGGTTGAGGGACCACAGTGGTGGGTTAAAAATGGCCATGAATGCTTTGCTATTCCTCCCACAAGAAGCTGAGGCTGAGTTCCCTCCCCTCACCCCACTGACGCCCCATGACTTGGCCATGTGACTTGCTTTGACCGACAGGACCTCAGACAGTGTGATGGCCTTGGATGCTTTGGAAAAGCTCTCATGCACTCAGACTTGGCAGGTTTGAACATGGCCCTGGGCCTACCATGCTGTAAGAAAAGCTGTGTAGCCTACTGGGAGCTGAGAGGCCATGGCGGGGAGAACAGAGCCCCCCCCCACCCCTCTCGTGGCGTGCACCAGCCACCCAACATGTGGATGAGATGGCTTGGCCTCTCTATCCATCATCTGACACAACTGCATGAGTGAGCCCAGAGGACAGCAGCAGAACTCCCAGATGGCCCATCCACAGAACCAGAAAGAGAGAGAGAGAAATCATCCTTTTAAGCCAGGAAGTTCAGGATGGTTTGTTACGCAGCTACAGGTTAACTGATACGCCCACCCAGTCTCCAGGATGGGGCTCCCAGGCTGTCTTCTCCCAGAAGACTTCACAGACTCCTCCCAATCTGGAATTAATCTCTCTTCCCCCCACCACCCATATTCACACAATGCTTTGTAACGATTGCTTAGCACAATCTGCCTTCACCAGGGTTATTTGTACAGGAATCCTTCTGTCTCTCTAGACTGCAGGTTGTCAGAAAGAAGGTCTGGGACCCCCCCCCACCCCCATAGTCTCCACCATGCTCAGCATGGAGCTCTGCCCAGACCCTGGTCATCTGCTCCCATTTACCAGGCCCTCGGGGGCCAGTGAGAACCTGGCCTGCCTGGGTAGAGACACAGGAATGCAGGTTGTCCGTGGGAGACCCACCTGGGTCTGGGGTCGGGCTGGGCCACTGATAGCCTGAGGCCCTGCCCCTCTGAGCCTCCTCCTGCCTCAAATGGAGACACACACTCCTGTCCAGCCCACCTCACAGTTGTGAGGCTCACATTGGGCGAGCGTGTGTGCAGACATGCGTGTGCGTGACCAAGTCCTGCCCCTGCTGGCGCTGTGGTGGAGTCCTACTTGGGTTACCACTGGGGACGTAGGGTCCTTCCCTCCCCTTCCTCCTTACCTTCCGGCCGTGGTAGCCCTGGATTCCTGGGTCTCCCTGGGGGAACAAAGAGAAGAAAATTAGTGAGATTTTCCCAAACGCCCCATTTTGGCTTGCGCTCTTGCCCTCACATTGCCATTCCTCTTCTCAATGACTGTAAATCCTCCAGCCCTCCCTGGAACAATAGCTTGCTTCCTCTGAAGCCAACAGAGACTCTTCTTTTCACAACAAGTCCCCATCCTGCAGAGGCGGAGGCGTGGTGGAAAGGGTCCACCTGGCAGGGGCCCAGGAGACCTGAATTTTGCTTTTGATTCCACTGCTGACTCTCCGCTGAACTGGGACAGGTCACTTTCCCCCAGGGCTCTCAGCCTCCACACGTGCAAAATGCTTGGGCAGGGTCAGTGCTTTGCAGCTCCTGGCCCCCCGAGTCCCAGGGCCCCCCGCTCCAGAGGAGAGTCAGTTTGACACGTGGGCTTCCAGACAAGGTCTCCCAAGAGACCAGATGATCCCGAAGGTCCCTTCCAGTTCTGACTCTGTAGGAAACCCTCTTTTATTGGGATGCTGTGACAGTGCCCTGGGCATCAACCTGGAGTCTCCAACCAGACTCTAAGCTCCTTGGAAGGTGGGACCACAGCCTCCATACCAGTCAGACTACCGGCTGTGCCTGGACACACAAGTGCAATCTCTGCGGGACCCAAGCTGTTACCAGGAGGAGGGTGACATTTTGAAGTGAACAAAGTGTGACCCATCTCTCACGGAGGCCACTCTCAGCTGCTCACTCAGTAGCCCGCAGAGAGCTCTCCCACCCATTCAGCGCACCGCCCGGAAGGGCCCTCACCTTCGGTCCAGGAGGCCCGGGTAAGCCCTGTGGAAGCAAGAGCAAGGTGAGTGGAGATGGAATGTGCTGGCAAACAGAGCAGGTCGGCGTGTTTGCTGCGGAGGCTTGGGGCAGAGGAGTGCTCATGAGCTGTGGATGTGCTAGAGAACAGAGCTAGAGGATCCTGGAACGGGATCTGAAACCTGTGGAGTATGTGTGCGGACAACAGGCTCATAGCTCCCTTTGGAGCCAACGTGGGGGCCGTGGGTGTCCCTGCTGTGCTCAGCCACTGGAAAATAGGTCAGCGGCAGCCTGTTAAAATGACAAGTGTGGTTTGGTCCGTGTCCCTACCCACCCACCCACCTCCTAACTGGGACTCCTCCCTGGGACGCCAACCCTGCCCAGCAGAGCCTTGGTTTTGCCTTTGGCCCTGCCAGCCTTTGGGGGAGTCTTCCGTCTCCTCTGGCCCAGGGTGCTGTGACCACAGCCCTCGGCTGTGGGGAGGTGGTGTGGGCCGCGGGCCTGCAGGAGCCCGAGGGGAGAGGCGAGGGCAGGCTGGCTCCACTGCGGTCTGGGGCAGAGGTTGGGCAGCACACACAGGCTGGAGAAAAGCAAGATGCCCAAGTCTGGTCTGTTCCCATGGGTTTCAAAACATGCTTCCTGGTTTTTTTCTTTATAAACACCCTAACAAAGAAAGCCACCTGGCTTGGGTTCAGTGAGTGGGAACCTAACATGTTTGGGGGGTCAGGGTCAGGGAAAAAGTGGATTTTGGGTATTTTGGGGGGGTTCTCTCAGCTTGGTTTGGTTTAGTTTCCTAAATTTCGCTTCCTTTCAGGTTTTCCGTTTTCCCATCTACAAAGCCATGGCAGTGAGACTAGTCTTTCTCCCCGGGGTCCCAAAACACAGAAATATTTAAAATCCATTGTGGAGGTCGAGCTGGGCAGGACCTGGGCAGGTTTTCACACCGAGCTGAGCTGCCACGCTGGGTGCCCTGGGTGGCCAGAGCTACCGCCGGCCTAGAGGGGCCCTACACTGAGCCTCAGCATTGGCAGCTAGAGCAGCTGCGAGGCCCAGGTGTGAGGCTGAGCGACACGGAAGGCGGCTGTACTCGATGAGTGGCAGGGACACCGCCAACCCAGCCATTCTATCACTGGGAATCTATTGCAGCAAAAGCATCAGAAATGCACACACACATTTATGTTCAGGGATCTCTGTCACAGAAGGGAACTCTTTAACTACTCATAAATAGGCCCAGCAGCCCTAAAATTCATTTCACGGGAGACTCCAGCCCAAAGAAAGGGTGTGCTTTATGATGTTAAGTGAAAAACATAATGGGACACAAACTGTGACATTACTCAGAACGTGACCAACCTGGAAAAATGTTTACGAGCAGACAAGTCTGAGGAGAAAAATGGCAGGACCCTCCAAAATGTTAATGTTGGTGAACTCTGGATATGGCAAAATAGACAATTTAAAATGTTTTCTTTGTCCATGTTCCAAATTTTTCACAATCATGCATGGTGCTTTTGTCATAAGAAACAAAAACAGTTCTTTTTCAATCATGTGAAAGAAACATTATTAGACAGACTTTGTCCTTCACCCTGTCCCTTCAGTAACATAGGACACTCGTCTTGGCTCTAAGATTGAAAGAACCCATTGAACTGCCCGGCTGCTCAGTTGCACTAAATAGGTCGAGAGAGCAAGGTCCTGGCCCGGCTTGGAGAGGGGGCGCTTGGTGGACCCTGGGTTTGACCTACTGCCTGAGCGTTGTCTTGCCTGGAGGGGGTGCCTGTTGGCTCCTGGGCCCACAGCACGACCCAGCAATTCCACCTCCGGGAATCTAAAGCCACAAAAGGGGCAGCCTCTTAGCGATTTCCTCCCTGGAAGTCAATGACTGCCGTTGAGGCCTGGCCCCAGAGCTGGCTTTTCAAAACCAGAGTACAACAGGTGAGTGTGGCAGGGATGGGCAGCTTCTTGCAGGAGCCACCCATGTCCAGTGGCCTTGCTAAGGTGTTTCTACCGTTGGGTGGGGACCCAGGTTCTTGTCAGTGATGTAAGGTTTGGATGCTTCCAGAGAATTCTTGGGACAGATCTTGGAAAAGGAGGTGGTAGAGAGAGAAAGAAGATACTTACGGGTGGCCCCATGGGCCCTGGCAGTCCCGGGGGCCCCAGAGGTCCACTTGGTCCAGGCGGGCCTGGTGGCCCCGGAGGGCCTTGGATGCCGGCCTGGCCCCGTTCACCCTGATGTTGGTGGAAACAAGAGTTAGAGGGAGAGCCCCGGGGCTGGGGAGCAGCTCCCGCCCCAGTACCATGCACCCGGTGAAGGCCCCGTGGTGGGCTCTGGTGGGCAGGCGGTGTGGCGTGGTGGTGATGATGCTGTGGTGGTGACCGCATGCAGGGACCAGTGGCAGCAAGGAGATGGCCAAGACACTAGGCCCCCAAGAGGTGTGGGGGGGGGTTGTCCAGAGAGGACCTGCTGCACAAGCAGCTGGTCCCAGAGCAAGAGCCCTGCTGGGGCAGAGGCAGAGGAGTGAGCGAGATGACCCTGCCCGACCGCCGGCACGCTCCCGGCCCGCTCAGATGCCGGGGGTCCGGCCCAGGGGGTCCTCAGCCCGGCCTGCCTCGGCCCCTCCCTCTGTGTGGCAGTCACATCCTCTGTCTACGCCGGGTCTCCAAGGCATTCAACGACAGCAGCAGTCCCTTGTTTCTGCTGTCTGATTCTCTGGCCTTGAGTGTCATAGAGGGTCCTTAGGTCAGAGGCCACAGAAGTTGGCGTGGTTCACTAAATCACTGGGCACTAGATCTTGTGTAAAACATTTGGACTGGGGGCTTCTGATGTCACACTGGGAGCCCTGGCACTCGGCGCCCACATTCCTGTGGGCAGTCACACCTTTCGGGCCTGGCCTGGGTTCCCCAGGTGCCTCAGCCCCCACTCCCCCATCCTTTCTGCGTGTGGCCTGCTTCTGTCACTTCCATCATCTGTGCCTGGCCTCAGAGCACAGTTGAGTCTGCAACCCTGAGCTTGGTTGATCTTGACACTGTCAAGTGCCGTATGCCTACATGGGTCTCGATTAGTATTCTTCTGCCCTGCCCCCACTCCTCAGTCAGCTGCTCTGAGCCCAGCCCTCGTCACCCACTGTGCCTGTGTCCAGGATGGGCTGAGGGCCCAGGGAACTAGGGGTGGCATTGTGTTTTCTCAGGAGGAGGAGAGAGCCTGGTCCATGTGACCCACATCATGGGGCCGGGGGCCAACCAGAGTCCTCCTAGATCTAGACCGAAGCTGTCATGTTATTTTCTAAGTGAGCTCTCCAGGGACCGTCTGGGCTCAGCTCCTGTGAGAAGGGGCCCATCCCTGCAGACTGACTAAAGCAGAACAGGCTGGCAGGCGTGCAAGCTCCAGGCTGGGGTGCAGAGGGACACGGGTGGCTGGGATGCAGGGGGACACGGCCAGCTGGAGCTTCAGGCCGGCCAGCCTTCTCGGGGCGCTCTCAGCAACCCTCTGTGACAGGAACAGGGGGCTGAGGATTCCTGCTGCAACCCCACGGGAGGAAAAGATGAGTAGAAACAAGGGGTGAGCAACCTCAGAGTGAGAACTGTGGAATTCCAGCAGCACCTGCCGGAACCTCGCTGGGCTGGGATATCCTAGTGCAGATGGCACCCAGCATGGTCACGCTGGGGCCTGGGCTTCATCCTGCTGTATCCTCTGAGAAGCCACTCAAGGGCACAGAGGAAGAGGCGGGGGCAGAAATGGGTCATGAGTCCCATTCCACAGAAGAGAAAACAGGCTCGGAGAAGTTGAGCTCCCTGACCGAGGTCACGTGGAGAATTCCGTGGGGAGCCAGGACCCAAACCTGGAACTCCAGACTGTTCTTATTCATTCCAAATAAGCCCCCAGGAAAAAAAAAAACAGAACAAAACAAAACAAAACTGCTCCCTGTCCAACTTTCTGCACTTTGGAAATGACCTCCAACACCATCTGCTAAGTACATCATATTTCATATAGTTTCCTCTTTCAGCAAATGTCAGACTCAATGTTTAAGCATCTTACAGAGCCTGTAAAGCAATATTGGTTTATTGATAGGAAATGGGCAAGCCTTTTTATGTCCCATGATGGCCAGCAGCAGAAAAACCCTAATCTCCAGGCAGACTCTGCAGCAGGCAGAGTAGGGCCCCCTATGCTTCCCTCTCTGCTTTGGAAACCAGGTCAGGGCAGCACAGAAAGTTCTGGCTCGCCCACGCCTTGCTCTTGAAAAGGGAGGGAGTAACGTGCAGGGGCCTGGATGGAATCCTGGGCACCCTCTCAATTTCTTCATCTGTAAGGTGGGCATGATGATGACGGCCCCTGCACCCCCGGGTGGCCAGTGTGACATTACACCAGATAGTCCATGTGGCATTCTTACCGCAGTGCCTGGAGCCCAGGAGGTGGCTAATGCAACTAAGGCCAGGAGGTGGCTCCTGGGGGCTGAGGCAAACGGCCAGTCTAAGAAGCAAGGACAGCTCTTCTGGAATGGGGTCTGACACAGGTAGGGGCAGGTGATGGGGGTGGGGGCTGGTGCTTCTCTGAGCTGCCAGGGGCCCCCTGAAGAGCTGTGCTTGGAGTTGGTGTTGGGAGCACATGGAGGCTCTCGAGGATCTGGCTGCTGTAATGGGATATGCAGGCTCGAGTAGCCCACGCATCACGTGTCCCGCTGTATTTTTAGCTGTTAATTGGAGGGATTTTTCAGCCTTGATCAATCAGGAGGCTGAACTGCTGGCTTCTGGGCTCCTGACTGCTGAGTGTGGCCAGATGGTGGCTCTGGACCCTGCTGTCCGGCTTTCAGAGAACATCTCAGAGCCCCGCCCTTTCCAGCATCCCCGCGACCTTGGGGGTAACCCCTACACAGTGTGAGGAGGGCTGGGGGTGTAAGTGGCAGCCGTGGGCCGCCTGGCCTAGAATCCAGCTGCAATGCTGGATCCAGACACAATCCAGAGCCTGGATCCCTGGCTCCGCGGTCTCTTGTTTTCTGTTCTTTGCAACCTGGTTCTATCCCAGCCTCCTTGGGTGCGTAAGGCAGGAAGAAGGAAGCAGTTGCTCACAATGATTACACCTGTTGGTTGTGGGCTACATTCCCTCTGCAAATTCCCTCACTCCTCAAACTCAGGTGACAAGTGATCAGGTGCTAAACAATCCTTTTCTAAATATAAAGGGTGTAGGTCCAACCGAGAGGGCCACGAATGTGGGGTCTGAAGACCTGGTTGCCGGCTTCCCATTCTGCCTCTCGCTGTTTGTGGGACCTTGGGCACAAATTCACTCCTCTGCGCCTCAAATTAAGAATAGCTCTGGAACCACGCCAGGAGCTATCCGAAGAGCTTTGCACACACAGTAACCCTATGCGGTAGGAATGGTTAATACCCTCATTTTACAAACGAAAAAGCAGAGGCACAGAGAGGTTAAGCAATTTGCCCCCAATCCCACAGCTCATAAGCGTCCCAGAAGCTGGGTGCCCTGCAATCTACTGGGTGTGTGACCTCAGGCAACTGCCTTCATGTGTCTGAACCTTGACTCCTCATCTGTGAAATAAGCATGATCGTGCCTGAGTCATAAAACGGTTGAGAGAAGGAAATGAAATCAGACCTGTCAAAGGCGCAGCCCAGTGGCTGGCGCCCAGTGGTGGCTGTCGCTGTTTTGAGGAGCAGGGGTGTGTGGTATTGGTGGATCTCCTGGGCTCGGGGGTTGTGTATCTCCACATCTGTGACATTCACAGGTCCCATTCTGTCTAATCGACTTGAACTGAAGTAGAGTGGGCTTCTGCCTTTGTCTACCGTCCCCGCTGGCCCGTCGGGGCCCGGAGACCTGCCAAGCCCCTGGGGACGCCACACGTGGTCTGGACAAAGGGAAGGTGTCTACCTGGAAGGTCCGTCTTTTTATGACTGGGGGCGGAGCCAGTCGCACTGAATTGAGGAGAGGCAGCAGCTGAAGAGAGAGATGAGTTGGAAGGCCAGAGGGCAAAGGCCAAAGATCGCAGATGTTCAGAATGATGCCGAATGTCGCCAGGAAGGCAGGGTGGCCAAGTGGGAGGGGAGGAGAGGAAGAGAGAAGAGTGATTAGCAGGCATGAGGCACAGGGAGGGTAGGTGTGGATGGCGCCCTCTCGCGGCTTGAGGAGGCGCAGCGCCGAGCTTGCCCGTGGATGGCACACCATCCCCGAAGGAGGAGTGTGGCCCTGGGGGTGTTGGCCAGCAGCAACCCCTGACTGGGAGAGTGGCCTCCTGACGCACAGCCCACCATTGCACTGCCGGCCCTGCCTGTCCCTGGCGGAGGACAGGGGCTGCTGGGCTGAGGGCAGCAGATGCAGAGGCTCTGGTCGGGAGCCACAGAACCAGCTAAATTGGTACTCAGAGCCAGGCTGGTGTGAGGCAACCACTGGGTTCTTTTTTTGGTTGAACGAGAAAGGCTAGCATCAGCGAATCTGAGGAGGATGGTCAAGGACAGTGCCAAGTCGGGCTCCCGGGGGCTGAGCCGGCTGAGGGTGTGGCCAGTGTGAGCACAAGCTAAGTGCTGCTGAGGTCTCCCACTGGGGCTGGTGGGTTTGGAAAATAAAGGCTGGGCAAGGATGTCTCCAGCATGTTCAACCACTTTTGGCGGGGAGGCAACGTTCAATCACATTATCTAATGTGATTTTCATTTTTGGAAATTCTCCTTGCTTCCAGTCTCTCTACCAATGGAACCTGAGTGCCCTGCGGCTTTAGGAAGTGGTTAGAGCCCATGTGACAACAAAGATGGTGTATAATTGACCTCTTGCTTTTGAAAGCATTTTAACTCACACGTGGCCCCTGGGATGAGTGTTAAGAAGCAGGGGCCGCCTGGGCTGAGAACTGGGAGCCCAACTGTGGCCGCCCTTTCCAGGTCCCTGCTGCCTTTAGGGGCCTCGGCTGCCCCGAGAGCCCCGCCACCTCCCACTGTGGGGCCCGGGACGTGCAATGTTGGGCTCTGCGTCCAGGGAGTCTCTCAGCAGAGAGGGGCCCGGAGACCTTCCAGAATCCACAAACCTTGAGGGTAATGATCTGGTTGGAGCGCAGAGCCGAAAGAGTGCTGCTCAGGTGCTCCTGGCATGGGAGGGGACCGAGGTGGCAGAGACAGGGCAACTGGGGCGTGAGTGCTGGAGCCCACAGACACCAGGTGCCCTGCACTCTGTCCCAGGGTACTCCGTCCCCCCACTCCCCACCCCTCCTCTGCCTCCCTCCCTGGCATGCTGCAGGCTGGAGCAGAGGCAGGGACCAGCCTGGATCTCCCATTATCCTGTGAGCCTGGAGGCCTGCCACCCCCACCGTTCCTGCAGAACCCTGGGAAAACCAACAGGCCCCTCTCCCTAGATGCCCCCTTGCTTTCCTACCCACTTCCAGATCAACAGGGGGGTGCCCGCTGCCTTGCTCTGTCCAACAGCTGAGCACCCAAATCTGCCCTCACCCCTGCCTGACTCGTTCCCTACCCTGCCACGGCCGGCCATAGCTTTGCTGCCCTCCATGGCCAAGGTGCTTCTGGAGCCTCCTATCCCTGCTCTCTCTCTCTCTTCCTCCCCCTCCTCCCCCACCCCACCCCCACACATTCACTAAGGACGGACAATGATACCCTGCCAATTACGTGTCTGCCGTTGTGTTATCTTTTGTGCCGGGGGATGCTGTCTTTCTTTCGGGTAACATAACAATCCTGTGAGCCCATCACTTCAAATCAACACAGCTGACCTTCTATTATTGTATCAGGGCCAGGCGAGCCGGAATACCAGGGCCCCTGCGTCCCCAGAGCACACGCCACTCACGGGCTGTCTGTGTGGCTATCGGCCGGCGCCCCCCGCCTGGGGCCCAGCCCGGCTTTGGCCTCAACCCCTGCCCCGGCTGCTTAGGGTGCAGACCCCCGGCAGACTCTCCCTGGCCCAGGAACCCAGGGGTCAGAGTCTGGGTGGCGGGGCACTGCTAGAAAGGCCTCCCGGAGGCCTCCCGGAGCCATGCGGACTCCGAGCCTCACTTGTACTTGTCTCTGCTTCCTCGGTCTCCTCGCCTGATGGGGTGGCAGCCAGGGAAGCCACACCGTGTGCGTGCTTCTGGGCACAGTGAGGCCCGTGCCACAGGGATGGACACACAAAGATACTAGGGCCTGAGAGGGCCATGTTTCTAGCCCCAGCTTACTGGGGCTCTCAGCAGAGGGCCCACAGCTTCGCCTGCCCTGTCCCAAGAACGACCTCTCACTACTGGTGCCCACGTCTGCAACCTCCTAGTAGGACCGCAGCCGGCTTTGGGCTCTATATCTGGGGACAAAGCAAAGCAAAGGAAGGAGCTGGGGCCTGGGGGTGACCGGGAGACCATCCCAGCTCAGAAATCCCCACGCCGTTTTGGAGAAGGCCTCCTCTAGTCCTAAGGAGGCAAAGCAGAGACTTTATCCTTGAATCGATACAGCCAGCCCCCAGTTATCTCCCACCACTGAGGTTTGGGTCATCTGCAGCAATAACTAACCCAAAAGTCCCTCTGATTCAGCCGGGGCAGGCAGCCAGACATGCACACCCAGTCACACACGCACGCCGGGCAGGGAGTCAGACGCACAGACTCACAGCTGCACAGCCTTACAGAGAAGGCAACGTGCAGAGGAGAGGCAGGGCCAGACACCCGGAGTTCCAGATGCACACACACGCTGGAAGGCTTGCAGGCCAGCCAGCGCAGGCGCAAACACCCGGAGACACGCTCGGGCGGAGGAACACGGGCGCTGGAGACCAGTTCTGCACAAGCACACTACGGACCACCAGGCACACTCCTGGGGACCGGCTCCCGCCTCCCCCACAGCTGCTCTCTGGCTGCTGAGCACAGAAGGGGGCTGTATGCTTCTGTTCCCCAACCTCTGTGGGTGCTGGGGGCCCCAGGTGGATGAGGCTGAGCTGGGGGCGGTGCCCCAGGGATGGATCAGTTTTAGGGGTTCACTTACCCGATGTGGGTACTCTCCACACTGACCCTGGGGAAGGGAGGGAAGGAGAAGAGGGCGTTAGGCACTCTGGGGAAATTGCGCCTCAGAAGCATCCTCAGGACCAGACGTACTCTCCGCCCACCAGCCCTGCGCTGGTCCTGGATTTAACTGAGGCAGGAGAACTAACTCCCTCCCTCTCCCCTGGCTGGCAGCAGAGAAGAAACCCTGAAGGCACGCCTGGACATGGCCCCATGGAACACAGGCTAGGATTCTGCTGCCATATCCCACTTGCCATGACCGCAGTCAGGAGTTATGCTCCATGCCTGGCTGGAGGTAGCTTCCAGAAAGGTTGACCCTCTGCGTGGGCCCACACAACGGTCCTGAGCAGAAGCCCCTGGATGGGAAGTGCAGACATGGAGGCGGGCTGTGGGCCCTCGGAGACACCTTTTCTGAGGTGGGGCTGCCAGGTCCCTGTACCGTTTGCCAGAGGCCAGCCCAGCAGAGTCTCCATCAGAAATTTAAGGAAATGGAGAACGTACAAGGCCAGGAAGGGAGCTAGACCAGTGGTTTAGAAACGGACACCTCAAAACCCTAGAGGCACATGGCGGTGCATCAGGAAGCACCCTGGGCAGAGAAGGGGTCTGCGGAGGGCAAGGCTCCCAGCCACCCTTCCTCCAGAGCACCCTCCATCTTCTCTCTCTACTGCGGCACCACCGAGGGTGCCCTGGTTCTGTGGGTAAATACTGGCATTTGAAAATAACCACTCTGGACCACTCTCTACCATTAGGGAGGCTGTTTCCTGCCATGAAAATTCCAGAAAAACCTCTATTAGGCTTACCTTTTCTCCTTTTTGCCCTTGAGGTCCCTAGGAAGAGACAGAAATGGCAGAGTTAGAAAGTGAGACTAAGGCCCTAGGGGCCCGAAGCCTCCCTGCTGGGGAACTTGAGGGTGAGGTACCAACCGGCTGTCCTCGGGGACCCGTCAGGCCCTGCGGGGAGGAAACACACACAGGTCAGCGGGCGCACCGAGGCCGGGCAGGGGCAGGGGTGTGGGCCCCAGGCGGGGATCGTGCTGGGACTGGGGCTAATGCACAGAGTCCTGAAGGCTGGCCTCCACCACCCATGGCCTGGTCCTCCTGTGCCCGAGATGTTCTAGGTGGTATGGCCCATACAGCGAGTCTCAGCTTCCTCCTCCGTTGTGGGTGTGACTAGGTGACTGGCGCCCGAATGGGGCCATGATGAAGAGAAGACACCATCCGTCCTCCGCTCCTCCATCATCCCCTCACGGACCAGCTGCGAAGGAGGCTGCATGGACACCTCAGGTGGGGCTCTGCTGTTGTGGACTGCCCTGCCTCACGCATGGCCTTCTCCTCATGAAGCCAAGAAGTAGAGGTCCAAAGCCTCTAGGGGACCCCGGCACATTCCGTCTTCTGCTCAGCACTGCCTCAGCATGAAACCCACTGAGCCAGAAGGGCTTCGGGGCACATGTGGGGGGCTTTGGAGAAACCTCTGGTGAAGAGAGGAAGCATGAGGTTGGCGACTTGAGCCACGTTCTGGGCCCCTCAGAGGAACAAAAGGGGTCTTGGGGCTCCTTCTGGGGTGTCTTGTCAAGTGTGCAGGGCTGAGAAAGAAGTCTGGGTTCAGGGTGGACCCCTGTCCTTTGAGGAGGACACAGGGTTCAGCTGGTTGTCTCAGGAGCTGACCTGAGGCTGGTGTGGAGGGAAGAGGGGAGGACATGCGCCTCGTGCTTTGAGGACCCGCTCCGAGGCTGGCGTTCAGGATGTGCTGAACTCACACCCACACTGGCCCACGGAGAAGACGCTCACGTCAGCTCCACCTCCCAGATGAGGTGATGGAGTTGGGGCCCTGCGGCTCAGTGAGCAGGGGTGCTGGGACAAGAGCCAGGGTCCGCTGACTGCAAAGGTCCAGCTGTTGACACTCTGCCACGCTCTCCGAACTGAGCTGGGGCTCAGAAGGCAGGGCTTCTAGACTTGGCTGGAGCCACAGGCAGTGTCTCAGCCTCTAGGGCCCTGAGGCCCCCTCAAGCCACCATCCTGAGGATCCACCTGCTGGACCCGTCTCTTTGGGATCTCCCTGCAGGGGCTCATGTGGGTGGGAGAAGAGCCTCTCTTGCCCCCGACTTGTCAAGTGGACCAATCACCAAACTGGGAAATTCCCAGCAGGTTCATGGGAGGGGACAAGTGGCCTTTGGGACAATCCATGGGGGCACCGCAGCCCATCTGGCTGACCAGGTGTTCAGCATAAGACCCACAGAACATGCCGCATCTGGCAGGGAAGCAGCCTGCGGGTGACCGGGCCACCCCTCTCATGACAAAGAGAGGCGAGGGATGAGAAGGGGAGGGCCAGCGGCTGAGGACAGCAACACAAAGGTTTGGGGCTGCAGGGCCTTGGAGGCTCCAATCCAGATGTCCCTGATGGTGGCCCATGGTACAACAGCGGTTCCCAGAGGTGTTGCGTTGACACCCCACAGTTTCATGTCAGTGGATGGCCAACATTTAAGAGCAAGGAGAGTATGACACAAATCTGGATTTCAAGTTTCTCTTAAATATTTCAAGGTCCAACAACACACGGCACCAATCAGCTCTAGTTGAATAGCGGCTGCCCCCATAAGGTGGGTCACAGGTGATGTGCTAAGGTGCTCGGCCCCCCTCCCCTGGGCCGGGTACTGTCGTGAGCACTTGGGGTGAATGCCGTCCCCCCGCCCTTAGGTCAGCTCTGAGCAATGGGGTAAGACCCAGCTTGGCCCTCAGAGTCCTGGCTCTCCTTCCTGGCCCTTGTGGGATCCCCAATCCTGTCTATACCTTACATTCAGTTCTGGGGGCTCCTGCGGGGTGGGTGGGGCAGGGGTGATCCCCTTTTGAGGTGAGGACACTGGCTAAGCGTGTGAGAGTGAGCCCTACCCCCCCATGTTGGAGGCCTAGCAGAGGGGAAACCATTTGGGGATGGAGGTGAGTGGGAGACAGATGATAAGCAGGCCAAGATAATTACACTAGACAGTGTGTTGAATTAATAGCGCGGGGTCCCTGTGCCAAGCCAAACAGAAGCCTGATGGTTCTGGGGCCTGTCAGATTCTGATGGATGACTAAGAGGCAGACAGGGGATCTATTACACTGGTGTGGGCTCATGGGAGATGGGATGACCTCAGCCTTTTCCCCCCAAGTTAGTTCTGTCCCCCAAACAGACAGGGGAGACTCATGGGTGGTTCACTGGGGTGGGGCAGTGGGATGGCAGAGGAGATGCCCCATAGAAGGGTTCCTTGCCCTCAAGACAAAGGGCTCTGGCAGCAGAAAGGAGTGTGGTAAGACCCCACCAGATGGGTCTCAATCCCAGCTCTGTGATTTAGAAGCTGTGTAGCCTTGGGCAATATACCCAACCCCTCTGTGCCTCTATCTCCCCTTTTGTAGAGTGGGGATAATAAGCTGTTACGAGGATTACGGAACAGTGCCTAGTTGACCATCTTATTACTTCTGGGTTGCCACGGACTGTGTTACGGTTAGTGTCAGGCCACTAGGAAGGGGAAGAGGGTGGCAGGGAGGGGTTGAGGGAGGAAGCACCCCAAACGCCTGGCATCTAAACCCCAATGCCTCTGGAACAACGGCAGCATGGAAGGGTTCCTGCCTTGGTCTCCATTGCTTCCCACATGTGCCAAGCAATGCTTGGAACAGGGGAGGGGCAACAGGACATGCACCTGCAGTGGGGCTGGCCGTGATGGACAGGAAAGCTGGCCGGGCACCTGGGCTCCAAAGCCAACTCTCCCATCCACGGCCTCCAGAGCCTCACTGCCCTTTTTCTGTGGCTATTTTAAGAACTTGCCTGCCTCGGGCCTTTGCACGTGCTGTTTTCCCATGTCCGGAATGCTCTTCCCCATTCCTTTGTCTCTTAGTTAAACCCTCATCCCTCGGGCCACAGTTCATGTCTTTCTCAGAAAGCCTCCCTGACCCTCAGCCCGGCTGAGGTGCTGTTTACTGGGGTTTCTCAGGCTAACTGGCATTGCCTTTTTATAGCGCGATTGCCGAGGTAATTTGTTAATTATGCGTCTGATTGTTTGAATGCACGCTCCCCCACTAGATGGTGAGCTACAGGATGGCAAGGACAGTGTCTTTCTTACTCCTGTCTGAACCCCCGCTACCTGGCACAGTGCCCAGCGTAGTGCAGATACTCAGTGAGAATGTGTTAAGGGGAGGCAGGAGGCGGGGAGATAGGGAAAGCGAGAGGGAAAGGAAGGAGAAAGGCAATAAAATGTGGAGGGAAGGAATTAGAGAATTGGGTTTGGATCCTGTTTCTGATGCTCCCTAGCTGTGTGACTTAAGGCAAGTTACTTAGACTCTCTGAGCTTCCGTTTCCACCGTGTCAAGGGGCTACTAGTAGGACCTGGAGCACAGGCTTATGCTGAGGATGAAGGAGGTAAGACACGCATAGGACTTAGCTCCGTGCCCACCACATAGAACACCCTCAATGAATGTTAGCTGGGCCTGAGTTAACTGGATAGGCTGAAGCCCAGAGGGTGCCAAGTTGCTAAAGGTCCCATGCAATTTAGGGGGAGCTGGGGCGAAGGCCAGGTCTCCTTTCCCATCCACAAAGTTAGCCACCTCTGCACCCCAGTTGTGAGCGGAGAGTGTCCTCATGCCTGCACTTGGAGCAAGACATGCACCAGAGCCGGGCTGGACAGGGAGGCGGGGAGCCTGCCATGCTGCACATTCCAGGCCCTTCTGTAGGAGGGGAGTCCTCCCAATGTAGAGATGACCACCCGGGGAGGCTGGATAGCATCCCAGCCCGGGGCTGGCCCATCTACTCCTTTTTTTTTTTTTTTTTTTAAGATTTTATTTATTTATTTGACAGAAGGAGAGAGACACAGTGAGAGAGGGAACACAAGCAGGGGGAGTGGGAGAGGGAGAAGCAGGCTTCCCGCGGAGCAGGGAGCCCGATGCGGGGCTCGATCCCAGGACCCTGGGACCGTGACCTGAGCCGAAGGCAGACGCTTAACCGACTGAGCCACCCAGGCGCCCTTGGCCCATCTACTCTTAATGGCCCATCCCTTCCATGGAGAATTGGCCCCCTCCCCTGGAGGGGGCGGCCCTGGAGAAGGGGAGGCTCTCCCTTCTGGACGGAGTGGCCTGGGGGAGACCGTAGAGACAGGAAATCCCTTTACAAGGCTTTGCAGAAGGTGGAAGGGGCTGGGAGGAAGGTGGGGACAACCGTCCGACTCTCCAAGTCGGCTTTGTGCCCAGCTGGGCCAGGAGCACTTAGAGTCCTGGGGCAGCCCGGAGCAGGGCCAGCACTAGGAAATCAGGCTGCAGAAAAAGAGCTAGATGGGCTCCCCCCCTCCCCCCGTTTACATTCAGCCCTGAGGCAAAGGCGTGGCAGTTTGGGAGCACCTGCCTCTACCTCTGTGGGACACTGGCGACTTGGACCCTCTCCAGACCTCCTTTTCCTCATTTTTCAGGTGGAGAAGCCCCCTACCCACCTCTCCTCCCTGCGTTGATGTGAGGACCTAGGGGTTGCATTGTATACAGCTGGGGAGTGACCATGGGGGCAGCCACTTGACGGTCCCTGTGGGTCCCCTTTGCAGGGCGGCACTTGGCTGCGACCAGGCTGACCCCCCCACCCCTCAAGGGAAGGCAGGAAAGCTGGGGTCTTACCATCTCCCCTTTGGGTCCGGGGTGGCCCTGGAAGGAGAAGGGTGTGAGCGCCGGGTACACTGCACCCCGAAACCCCCGCCCTGCCCCCTCCATCACCCACTGCTCATTTTGCACACTTCTTTCCTCCTCATCTGTCCTGTTGCTCCCTGCCCTGGACCCGCTGGCTCAGGCATGGTCACTCGCCCGTCCCCCTTTGCTGGGTCTTACTTAGCAGCTGCCAAGCCCTCAAGAGCCCCTGCCCCATGCACACACCCGGGGCAGCTGGGAGGCACGCTGGGTCCTGGGGGCTGAGTGGGAAAGACCACCAGACCCCTCGCTGTGCTCAGCTCTGGGCTGCAGTGGGGGACTGACCAGGCGGCTGGCCAGGCCCGCACAGCGGGGTGCTGGGCTCCGGGGCGAGACAAGTGAGTGGGGCTGGGCTTGGCACCTCGTTGCCTTCCCTTGTCATCTCTGAGGGCATCAGAGGGGTCCAGCTCTCCCCCAGCTCACTCCTTCCGAGGAGTGGGGCGGGGTCTCCCTTCCCCCATGAACATTTGGGTCTGGGGCCCAAGCCCAAAGGATTAAAATGGACAGAGAGAGGAGCTACGGATGGGGACACAGACTCCATGTGGATGTGGGTGTGTGGGGAGTCCACCAGGGTGGGAGACTGGAGGACATAGGGTGGCGCAGGCGGCTGCCTGGTGGTGTTGGGGAGCAGGTGTGGACCGGAGCCCACACTCCATTTCGAGTCAGCGGCTTGAGCTCTCCCCACCTGTCTTCCCTCCCTGCTGCCTCCCCGCCTCACCCCCTACTGCAGCCCCTTCCAAGGGCGCCTCAGAAACACCAGCTTCTAGGGGTGGTTCTTGCTCCAGACGCTGAGAACCCAGCTTGGCGGCCGTGGACTTGTGCCCAGGGGAGGCTCCCTGGGGGCTGGGGCAGCTCATTCCATCGGCCCCTCCCCACCTCACATTGGCAATGATTTCCTGCCCCAGGAACATTCATTCTCTCCGAAGTTTCTCCCGCCGAGTAAGGGTCTTGCAGAAGGACTGAGGACCCGGGGTTAGTGACCTGGATCAAGCGGGGCGAGGGAGGAGCTCACAGCCCGAGAGGGTCCACTCACCGGTTTGCCATCGAGCCCAATGGGACCCTGAAAGGGAAAGAGGCCACGTGTCAAGACGACAGCACAGGTCTCCTGCCAAAGAGGCGGCCCGGGGCAGTGGTTAAGGACTCCAAGTTGGAGTTCAAGTGTCTGCTTGACCACTTCCTGGTTGTATGACCTTGGGTAAGCTTAAGCCTCAGTTTCTTATCCTACAATGGGGATAATAGAGTCTTTCACGAGGGGTCTTTGTGGGGAGTGAACGAAATGCCACCTGTCCAGCACCCGGCACGAGGGACAAGCTGAAGGAGGACAGTCACCATGGTGATCACAGACCCACCTCCCCCTCCTTGCCCTGAGTGGAAAGTGAACTGGGTGTTGCTAGAAAGCCTGGGACTGGCTAGCACCAAGGCCCCGGGGAGAAGGAGAGCTAGTTGCTTCCCTGCCCTCCTCTTAGAACCCGTCCTCGACCCCTCGGGCGGGGGTCACAGGGCATCCTGATGGCCACCTGACCGCCTCCTGCAGGCGGGTCTCCTCTCCAGACCAGCTCGGAGGTTGCTTCCCTGAGGTGCATCATCTGTCCCACATTCCAGTGTCCTGCTGGGGTTTACCCAGCCTGTGACTTCCCCCGCCTGTCCCTGTCCTGCTGTCCCTTCATTTCCCTATGACTGTCCCTGTCCTGTCTTGCACTCTGGGCTGAGGGTCAGCTACTCTCCTCAGTGGCTCTCTGCGAGAGGCCGCAGGAAAGGGTCCTTACTGACCAGAGTTTGGAAGGTCAAGAGCAGCTTGAGGGCTGGCCCCGCATGAAGTTTAACCCAGCCAGGCCCAGGGGTCACCGGGGACATGGCTCATCTGGGCCCTCCCTACTTACCGGAAATCCAGGGAAACCTCGAGTGCCCGGCTGACCCTGGAAAGAGCAGGAGAGGATTGAGGATGGGTGAGGAGGGGATGAAGCCAGACCGAGTCCCCTTTGCTCTCAGAGGGCCTGTGTGTTCCCTCCCACTCCTCTGGGGTCCTCCGGGGGAGATACGCCCCGTGGTGAGCTGGCTATAGGGGAGGCTGGAGAAAGATGGAAAGAACACCAGAGGAGGCCTCCTCCGGGGCCTGGGGAAAAGGAGGGGCCCAGCATCTTTCGGGTCCTCCATGCCCTGAACCCCGACATATGAGCAGGTGGCTGGAGGACATGGACAGTGAGGACCGGCCTGCTGCACTCTGAACTCCTGGCTGCGATCTTCTGAGTCCTTTTTATTTATACAGTCGTTGCCAGGGCCAATTACATGAGGATGGTTTGGACAGCAGAAGCTGACCCTCAGAAGGTGTGTTTTCAGGCCACACGGGTCAGATCTCTCGTTTTTCTCTTGCCCTGGCCCAGCAGGCCCCGCCCCCAGTTGGGCAATCTCTGGGTCCCCCAATCTTTGTGCCCATTCACGCCCATTCTCCTGCAGGTGCAGAGGGCCACTTGGGTCGGTATCTGGGCTGGAGACTAGAAGCCGCCGGTCACAGCCCGGTGGCCTCCGGTCCAGACTCAGGACAACAGAGATGTGCTGAGGTCAGAAGCAGCGTGGGGCTGGGCAGACCCAGGGCTGGGGAGCGCTGAGCGGGCGGTCAAGGCCAGTGGTCCCTTCTTCTCGCGTGTCATTCCAGTCTCACTAACCCCGTTCCTGCCCCATCTCCCCTACTCCTCGCTCAGGCACACGGCTCACCTGCTTTCCCTGGACATACCCCATCTTTCCCACAGTCAGCCCTCAGCTGGGCGTCTGTCTCCCTTTGACCGAGGCGGCCACAGTGTCCTCTCAAGCTTGGGCCTCCGAGTCTGGCAGGCTGAGCTATAGTCCTGCCTCCAGCAGCCTCAGCTGGGTGACTAAGTCCTTAGGCTTCCCTTTTCCTCGGTAGCATGGGGACAAGAGCATAACCTCACAGGGTCACTGAATCACACCCAACTGTACTTGTAAAGACTGCTAAAATGGTAGCTGCCGCTAATCCATCAACGTTTGCTGCATTGAACCGAACCAAGGAGCACCAGAATAAAGCCTTCGGAGCCATGGACGATGGTCCCTGCCAAGTGGCAGTTTCCAAATCAGATCCCATCGGGAGGGAGATTTCTCCACATCCATCTGCTGTGAAGCGGGAACATCTCCAGGCTGCTTGGGTCTTCCTTGAAGCCACGACAGGAGAGCCCAGAGGCCTCTGCTCGGGGGACACGGCTGAGTGGGACGGGGACCCTGCCATCAAGGTGGGAGCGTCAGTCAAGCGGGGACGGACCTGCAGTGTCCTACGGGGTCGGTATGGGTTTGTGGCAGGCAGCCCAAGGGCAGGAGGGAGGACATGCCACTCAAATGTCGGAGAGCCCCGGGCTTCGCTCCTCTCAAGGGTAAGTGATGCTAAGAATAGCACTAAGGAGAAAACCCGGAAACCCTGCGATGTGGCCTCTGGAACCTCACAGTGTAAACTTTCAACTACTCCGAATGCTGAGAGGCCCGAGGACAAAGGTCAGGAGGAGAGGATTCCAAGAAACATCTTCATGTCCCGCTCGGGATAATGTTTACCCGGTAGGGATAAGCACATGGTTTGCTAATTACAGAGCCTGCCCGGGAGCAGGATGCATCTCCCCAACTCAGAGCCAAACCCAGGGCTAACCAAGGCTTTTTCGGGATCTTGGGAAGAATGTTGTCACTGACCAAATGGAAACTGGGACTCTACTTCCTGGAGATGCTGGGCTGGGTAAGGCACTCGGGGAGGCCTGGAACTGGATTTTAATTACATTTCTTCAGTTACACGCTGAAGTTGGACCCCTCTTGCAGTGTTTATTGGCTGGTCATTTACTCGTGAACCGCCTGTTCGTGTTCCTTACCAACAGTTTCCCCTTGCTTGTTTGTTTCCCATTGGCCCGAGGACAGCTCCTTGTCAAGGTCGGTAACTCTTTGAGGGTCACGTGCGTCGCCAATATTCCTTCCAATTTGGCATTTGTCTTTTTCATGCTGTATTTCCTGCCCGATGGAAGTTTTGCATTCAGGTGGACACACTTATCAATCTTCTCCTATGGCTCCTGGGTTTTATTCCGTGTTTCCAGGGGACCTCCCAGTGCGGACTTCATAAATGTCTGCTCACGCTTTGTCCTCGTATTTTATGGTTCCATGTTTTACGTCTAAGTATTTTATCCATTTGGTATTTATTCTGATATAACAAGTGAGGTACAGATTCAGTTTTTTGTTTTTTTTTTGGTTTTACCTTTCGGTAAATGGCTTGTCCCCTGTCCCAGCATCATCTCTGAAACAATCTATTTTCCTCTTCCTACTGTGAAATGAAACCTTTACCACGGACTAACTTCCCAGATGCGTTTGGCTTTATTTCTGGCCTTCCCATTCTGTCCTATTTAACTGCTCTGTTTTTATAATACATTGGATATCGAGTAGAACAACCAGTCCTGTCCTCCCCTACTCCCCTTACCCTATTTTTCAGAAATTTCCTGACGTCCTTATGAAAGCTTACTTTTTTCCCCCAAATGAAATGAGTATTATTCTGTTAGACTCCAACCCCATAAAAAATTCACTGGGATTGGGATCGCGTATTAAAATTATGGATTATAGATGTATTCATAGATTAATAATGCATTAATACTATGTCCTTCCATATAAGAACAAGGGGGATAAGCTTTACATCGCTCTCCCAAATCTCTTCTCTTAATTCAAGGCCAGGGTGGAAAGGGAGCCAAGTGGATCCCTGCTTTTTGGAAGCAGACCCCGATGTCTACTCCTACCCGTAATTCGTGTGGGGTAAAGCCACAGAGACAGACAGAAGGCTAACTCTCCCTTCCTTTCACTCTGACCCCTGAATGAGGGTCAGTCCCATATCTGCCCAGAGCCTGCCTCCCACTCCAAGTCAGTGCTGACTATCTTTCAAACAAGACCCCGTGTTGGTCAGTGTGTAATCGTTGGCTGAGGTGACAGAGAGTGGGAGAGAAGACCCCTGCTTTGTATAGGATCTGCTAATCTCTGTGGTGTAAATAAACCTCCCACCACAGCTGATTTTAAGCTACCAGCGTGATGCCACTGAACACAGAGTTGGGAGGGGGTGTGCATGATCTGCTCTCATGAGCCGGGTGAGCCAACTCCAGCTCTGACCTCCAGCAGCAAATGGGGGGCCAAACATCTCCCTTTGGACATAACAAGGACATCTCAAGTTCATCATGTTCTGGTTAAACCCATCTTCCCCAGCAAAATCCGCTCCCCTATCTGGAGAAGGGTACCACCATCTACTTGGTTACTCAAGTCAGAAATGTGGAGTCATCTTGAACTCCTCCTTCTTTCTCAATCCCCAATTTTATCATCAGTAAATAGGTCAATTCCACCTCCAAAGTTCCCACCAGTCCAGCCCTTGGTTACTGCAAGCGCCTACCAGCCAGTCCCCGGCCTGTAGCCGCTTCTAAACACGCTCCAGGCCAGGGCAGGGATAGGAGATCTTTTTAAACTGCAAATCTGAGCATGTCCATCCTCAGCTGAACACACACCAAGGCTCTCCACTGCCCTGAGGATAGAGTCCTGACTCCTGAAGACGCTGTCCAGGTTCTTCTCGACTGGGCCCTTGCCCACCTCACTGGCCTCGGCCTTGCTTTGCTATGTAACGCACTTTCCCTGTTTCTCCGGTAGTTTATAAGAACCTCTTACGGGGGGCTCCTCCCCAGCCTCACAACCTGGGAACCTCTGCTCTTCCTTGATCATAGCTTAGTTACCCCTCCTTCCTGGAAGCCTTCTCTGTCTGCCCACACCCCAAGGCAGGTGCCTCCTCCGTATATCGTTCCCCATAATCCTCAGCCACAGAACGCTTGCCCACTTGGCCTCTCCCCCTTAACGACAAACATCCCCTTGGTCTTCCCCTGCTCCCTGTGCTCACCAGCTCTGTGTGGCTTCCTGGGAGGAGTTGAGGTGGTTGCCCTGGTCTCTAGTGAGGACTCAGCGGGGGAGGCCCCAGTCATTGGGGTGATGGTCACCCCCACAGGCCAAAGTAGAAGGAGGCTGGGCTTGGTTAAGCCTCCCGGTACTATAATCCCTCTCCTACCACCAAGGCTGCACCCACACGGAGAACTGTTTCTTCTCCTGAAGGTAAATATCCCTTCTAAAGGGTAGAGCTTGAAACAGGGAGGGCAGAATTGCGGCGAGAACGTTGGCTTTGGAATGAGGCGAAGCTGGACCAGCTCAAGCTCTAGCACTGACCTGCTGAGTGGCCTCAGGTGAGTTATGAAAGTCTCAGTCTCCTTCTCTGGGAGATGGGCTGGCGGGCCTGCCCCCACAGCTTTGTTGGGAGGACCGATAGAGGCCTGGGCATAGGTGGGCTTTCAGCATAGGCCCTAGGACAGGATAGGTGCCCAGGAGATGGAATTTATCACTATTACCTGAATAGAAGGTAATTTTTGCCACTGGAGTCCAATCCCATGCAGGAAGTATGGCTCCTCATCATGCACACTGAGCCAGAAGCCAGGGGAGCTGAGGCAGACCCCTGCCCCCGAGCATGTCCTCCAAAGGGGGTCCTTTTCAACAACTTTTAGGTAGCTCGTTGGCACGGTACTGCCAAAAGGGTGTTGGAGGACCGGTGTGATTGACACAATGGGGTCTGTGGTCAGACTGGGAGGCAGGCCGAGGTGGTGGCCAAGGGGTAGGGCCTATATTCTGTTACTCTTCTGTCCACCCAACAGGCCCGTCCTGGCTTGGTCCTGGCCGTTAAAGCCCGGGGACTGGCTTTCTCGGTGACCTTTCTTGGTGACCTTGCCAGGAGTGGCTGGGTGCAGGGCACACTCGTGGCAGTTCCTCTCATGAAGCTTACGGCCCATCGGAGCAGTGGCCACATGAGCCCAGAGGCCCGGGCTGAGCACCTGAATCCCCACGTGGCCGCAGTCGAGTGAATGATCTTGGGCAAGTCGCTCGGGCCCTCTGTGCCCGGCTTTTCTCACCCATGAAATGGAGGGGCAAATAGTACCTCCTGGGGGGCTTCTTATGAGGATTAGGTGAGTTACAGTGTGTAGCAGTCTTAGGACGCTGCCTGCCCCAAATTCAGTGCCACGCGTCAATCCTTAACATCGTCCCTGGGGTCAGAGCCAGAGGGAATCTTGCCCAGGAGGCCAGGTCTCTGCAGCCCGGGACCCTTTCAACCCTGCCTCCAGCCTCGGCCCCCGACCAGTCTGCCAGCCCTGCTCCCCAGCTCTGCCCTTTGGCTCCCCACCCTGACCCGCCCCCCGCCTCCAAGCAGCCCTGAACGGCAGAGCCTCAGCTCCTCGCTCTTGGCATGGCCCCTGCTGTGGATGGGATTTAGCAATTGGCTCTCTGATCCCGCTCCCTAGACTATGGGTAGGAGATGCTCCCGCTTGCACTGGCTCCCTCTGGTGAAGGCAGGGGAATGGGCAGGCTGGACTCCACACCTCCACTGTGCTAGCCTCAGACTCCCAGAGGCTAGCCCTCTGCTTCCCTCTCCCTCTCACCGTGCAGGCAGGACAGGAAAAGTGCACAGTAGAGCATGGAGATGGTGGCCTGATTTATGGGGGAAGCCCTGGGTGCCAAGGGTCCTGGGTTCTAATCCTGTCCCAGCCTCTATGTGTGGGCCCCTGGCCCCTCGCTGGGCCTTAGTTTCCCCTTCTGAGGGGGCTGTGCTAGACCATTGCTGAGGTCCTTTCTACCCTGACATTTGGTGATTGTCCTGATGCCCTGTGGTTTGGGCTCTCCTTACCATGGTCACAGTATCTTCCCACATCATCACCCAGGTCCCCTTTTGGTCCCTAAGGAAACATATCGGAGGGGAAGCCTCTGATTTCTCCGAGCCCCGGGCCACTGGGTAGAGGGACTAAGAACAAGGTCTTTGAGGACGAGTGGTGGGGCAGGCCTCTGCCGAGACCAGGAGTGGGTGCTTGGGGCAGCGGATCTGGATGCTGGGTATCTGCTCCAGGGGCTTCTGGAAACAAGGCCTGTCCCCTGGAAAGCCGGAGCAGCCCATCTGGGGAGGGGTGAGTACTTTCTCCCTGCCTGTAAACAGCAGGGCCACCTCGCAGCTGCTGGCTCCCTGGCCAAAGGGTGGCCCTCATGAACCCTCCCGAGAGGCTGTAATTTAGGTATATTTAGGCAGGCCTGGCCTGGTTGACCATATTATAGGCGGTGGCTGCCAGGCCCAGAGGCACAGCCAGGACTCGCTCCCCTCCACCCAAACCCTTGTCATTAGCTACCCCAGCATCCCCACCCTGAAGAAGAGCAAAAACCACTTACAGGGGGGCCGCGGGGGCCGATGATGGACATGCCGGTGTCTCCTGGGGCTCCCTGTGGGGGGGAGAGAGAGAGAGAGAGAGAGAGAGAGAGAGGAGAGGGACAGGGGCAGGGACAGGAGGGGGGAGGGGTGGGCCAAGGAGGAGGTAAGGAAGCGAGACTGGCAGGTGGGGAAGGGGAGTGGGGTGGGGGGTTGCCCGGCCAGAGGCCGGGAGAACAGAGGGGGCGGCGGGGGGCGGGGGGGACCCCAGGCAGAAGAGGGAAGAAGGGATTCAGTGCAGGGATGAGCAAGGGCAGCTCAGGGAGGGGAGGGCACACAGCTCAGCCACGCCGCTCAGGCCGCAGAGGCCCCCTCTAGGCCCTGCCCAGTGCCCTCCAATCTGCCCCAGCCCCACCCTAGCCTCAGAGCCTCTGAGGCCTTCGCCCCCGCCCCAGCCCCAGATGCATGTGGCGCACATCCCCGCAGCAGGTGAGCCGGGCTGCTCCGTGGATGGAGTTGCTTGGAACAGGGGTGGGGACAAGACCCATGCTCGCTGTGTGGGCCCCACGGCCCTGAGCCTGCAGGCGGGGGCTGCCTCGGTCCTCCTAGGCCTGATGTGAGAGTGACACAGAGGGGTGAAGTCGGGCCAGAACTCTCAGCCCCGAGAGGATGGCGGCTGCTGCTGAGCTGGGAGCTCCAAGTGCCATCCAAGGGTGGTCGGGCTGCCCAGATATCTACACCCGTGTGTGTGTGTGTGGGGGGGTGCTGGGGGCAGGGAGGGCAACAGAAAGATGAAGGTGTCAGGGACACAGATGGGGGTCAGAGATGATACCCTGGCAGAAGGATCTAGACCATGCCCTGCTGTGCGGAGGGCTGCCTGCTGCTTCCCACCAGGGGGGCTCCCAGGCCTCCCTCCCAGGTCTTGCTCTGCCAGGCAAGTCACAGAACCTCTCCCAGCCCACATCCGTCCTCTGTGAACTGGATGCTGAGGGCTGCTCGGCTACCCTTCCAAGCAAAGGCCCTAAATGTATTTGTGACTGTCATGCCTCATGCCCAGGTGAGCAGTGATGTCAGATTTGTAACTGTTTACATCACGGCAATGATACAGTAATCACTACACGAGGCACGGTAGTGCAATGGCTAGGAGCCAGCCAGAACCCTTGGGTTTGAAGCCCAGCTCTGCTCCTTCCCAGCTGTGTCACCTTGGGCAACTTAACTTCCTTCTGCCTCAGTTTCCTTACCTGTCTCATAGGATGGGTGTGAAAGTTTCATGAGATAATGTTGTAAAGTGCTGAAAAGAATGCCCGGTGCATGAAGGGGCTAGCAAGTGTTTGCAATTGTCCTTAGGCACCGATCGTGTCCTTCATCTTTCTCCCGGGCAGCGTGGAGCCCCAGGAGGGGACGCCGTGAGGGTGGGGCTCCTCTCCAGCTCTGTCACTTGCTGCCGTGTGACCTTGGGTCTGTGAAGCTGCCTCTCTGTGCTCTCATGTAAATAAGAATATTGAAGCCTCCCTGGAAGGGCTGCGTCAGTGTTAGTTGGGAGAACAGAGGCCAAACATCGCGGCACCTGGCGGTTTGTGCTTAGTACATCATAGCTGCGAGTGTTTGCTGCCATTGTCATTATTTTGGAGATGGAGAGACTCGAGAAACACGCACTGCCATGTACAGGCAAGGAAGTACTAAGCTGGGCATCGGGAGGTCTGGCTTCTCGCCCCTGCTCATCATTATTGGTGTGGGATCTTCAGCAAGCCTCACCCCCGCTCTGGGCCTCAGTTTCCTTCTCTGTAAAGGGAACTGGTTGGATGTGCTGCTCTCTGATCCTTCAGGATCCACCAGGGCTAACGCTCCAGAATGGTCTCTTGGGCTTCTGGCTTCCGAGGGGGGCTTCACTCTAGGCCCCTGGGAGTCTCTCTGGGGCAGCACGAAGAGAATTTCTATGTCTGAGGGCACCAGCAGTAGGCTGGGGAGGGACTAGAACCAGCTGCCCCAAACAGTGATGGTGCTCCCCTCGGCTCGGGGAAGGCGAGGCCACAGGCAGACTGGGTGTGTGGGGAGACCCATGCAGCAGGGAGGCTGGGCCCTTAGCCAGGAGTCAGGGGCCCGGACACTGGGCCTAGAGAGCCTGTGAGGGCAGAGTGCTGGGGCCTGTGTGCTGGGAGGAGGGCTAAGATGGGGGTCTTTGGAAGCACCCCGAGAATCCAAGGGGAAGAGACTGGGGCAGAAAGGTGGAGGGTAAAGTGAGGACTCACCTTCTCGCCTGGTTGGCCCTTTACTCCCTGGGGCAGCCACATGCAACACAGGGTGGAGAGGAGAGAGAGGGAGAGAAAAAGAAAAGATAAGAGAGAGGCATACACGCGAGAATCTGTGTTAAAGGCACAATGACCAAACAAAAGAAATCGCTGTGAAGTAAGAAACAAAACAAAACATAGATATTGACACATGACAGGTGTCCCTCCTCCAACAAGCACAGTGCAGGGTTGGCTACCGATTTACCCCGCAGGGCCCGGCCCCAGACATTCTAGATAACTGAGAGAAACAGAGGCAAGATGTGTGTGTGTGTGTGTGTGTGTGTGTGTGAGAGAGAGAGAGAGAGAGAGAGAGAGAGAGAGGGAAACCCATCCAGGTCAGAAAATCTGCCTGAGAAGCCATGAGAAGCCATGTCCCCAGCTCACTGGGTCCCCTGAGGTGGTGGTGGTTGGTGGGGACGGAGCATGAGGGAGACTTGTCCAAGGACTGTGTTGTGAAGTGGAGTTGAGTTGGTTTGAAGGTCCACCTGAGCACCAAGCACAAAGTTTTGCCAAGCTACACACGCTGGGAGCCGTCAGGGCTGGCCAGGCAAGATGTCGGGAGAGGGACTAGAGGAATACGGGAGGACAGACAGTAGGACAGACATCTGGGAGGATGGGGGATGGGTCTGGGATGCAGAGGAAACTGGGCAGTCACCAAGGGTCCCTGTAACCACAGCAATGCGCAGAGAGACAGCTCCGATCTACCCTAATCCACTGAAGCCGGGGGTACCAGCTCTGGTGAGAACCACCGGGGCAACTCAGGCATTTCACACCCCGTGGCCACCCTCGTCCTTATCAGGTGGCTGGGGCCAGGACTCCTACTGGGCAGCCAAATGGGTCCGTTGTCACACTGAAAATAGCACAAGCAGCATGAAAACCCCCAAGTGGCTGGAAAACAGAAATGGGGGGCTTCCTGTGGCCTTCCCTCCTGCCCCCACCGCTGAGGGTCAGAACTCGGCTCTTGATGGACACTTCCTGGGCGCACACGTCCACAAGGGCCCAAGGAGGGCAGGAGGGGGAGGGCAGGCAGTGGCACTCAGGGTACAGAGTCCCGACGCCCACCTGTTAGGAGTCAGGATCTCGGCGTCTGACCGTCAGCTTGGGTGCAAGCCCCAGCTCCACCCCCCATCCCGGGCAAACTGAGTCTCAACAAGCTCATCCATAGGACGGGTTCCTGGAAGGCTCTGGTGGAGAACATGCCTGCCTCAGGCCCACGCACGGCGAGCCCCTGAGAAAGGCTGGCTGGCTCTATTCTCCCTGTTGCACCCAGGAAAGGACCAGTGACAGCCTGAGAGACTCAGGATTTGGAGTGAGAAAACTAAGGCAGAGGGGCAGGGTCAGGCAGGACCTCGGGAAAGACACTTAACATCTGAGCCTCGGTTTTCTTATCTGAACAATGGGTGGAAATTGTGCCTACCTCCGGCAGCTCTTGGGACCCAATGAGCTAATGTGAGTGAGGCTCTCAGCACAACACCCAGCGCAGAGTGAGCGCTCTCGGGTGTTAACTGTGATTCAGAGGCCTTTTCTCTGAGCACCGGGCTCACACCAGGCAAGCAAACTCCTGCAAGGATGCCATACCCAGGCCTAAGGCCAACCAGTGAGGAGGTGAGGTCACGAGGCAAGGCATGTGAGTGGCATGGAAGGATGGCATGGGGGGAGTTGGGGGGCCCCAGGGAGCCAGAGGGAGGTGGAGGCTGATAGCTCTAGGGGAGTCGGGGGTAGACGGGGAGAGTAGCCTGGGCATGTCCTAGACTCACTTGGTGCTGGTGAGGCCGGCGTGTGGCCATCACCCCCTCGGGCTGCCCCCAGTGCCTGAGCTGCCCTTTCTAGCCCCTCGGAGGCTAGCAGGCACCCGGGACAAGCCTGGCTCTGGGACCCCGAGATCTAGTGCTGGCCCTCCCATTTCTGAGCTATCCCCTCCCTGCGGAACATTCCTGTTTCCCTTTCTTCATCTTGAGTTTTCAGCAGGAAACATTCAGTGTCTAACTCCTAGCCTCACGGTGAGGATTTGGAGGCACCGCCTGGGAGCCAGCCCTGTCCCCCACCAGCTTCTAGTCTCTGTCTAGGGAAGGCACCTCTGGAAGCCGGCTCCGCTGCAGCTTCCATGGGCATCTGAGGCTGCATTTGTCATCGTCTGTTGCTGTTCTTGCTAGGGGGTGGTGGCAAAGCAGCTGGAAGTCTGAAGGAGAGCTGCTAGCCTCGGGAGGTGGGGGAGCGGTGGAGTGGGTGGGAGTCTCCCTGATGTCAGGAGGGGCTTGGACCTCATCCTGTCCCTTGGTGGGGGGATCGATAAAGAACTTTATCAGTGCCATTTCTTGGATTTTTCCTTTGCCATGGCAGCTGTATGGAGAGTAGAGTCATACTGCAAGATCTGAAGGACTGGAATAAAACCTCCTCCCTTCTTCTTTCCAGTCCCTCTCTGAAGCCGACTTGGGTGGAGGAAGAGAGAGGTCTGACCCCGTCCTTGGGGCTGGGGAGGTTGCCATGGTTTGGAGGACAGGGCGGCACAAAGAAGCAAGCAACGGCCACCCAAGCAAGTACAAATGCGCCAACTCACCACACGTCCAGGCATCCCAATGGCACCTTTGTCCCCCTGATGAAGGAGGCAGAAACAATTAGATGTGGCTGGAGCCAGGCCAGCATAGGAAGGACCCCATGGGCTAGCTATGCACCCAAGACCTGCTTTGCATGGGCGGTTGGGATGATGCCCACTCAGCCGCCAAGGACTGTTAGGCAAGCAGCCACCCCTACCACGATCTGCTCTCAGCGAGGTGCTGTGGAAAGTGCACTAACCTAGGAGTCTGGTCCCCAGCCTGAGCCTCAGTTTCCCTATGCGTTTCACGAAGGGTCCAAGGCCCTTCCTCTCTTAGACTTCTGCTGTCACAGTCTAGCTTCGGCTTCACCCAGGATGTGCCATATCCTTGTCCCGCTCAACTCCAAGGCACAGAGCCCGGTGAGGGGCGGCCCCATGTGCCAGGGGAGCGGTCTATCCGTGCCAGAGCTGAGGCGCAGGGCCCACGTCCCCCGACCCCTCCCCAGGCCCTCCGCCCGAGAAGTCTACGACAGAGCCCTCTCCCTGCCCTCCTCTCAGCCACCCCTGGCACCGACAGGAAGGACGGCGAGCCATGTGGATACGGCCGCATTACGAGTTTCAGCCGCTCAGAGGGATCCACTTTGTTTTGTAGCCAGGGGTTACATCTTCTCCCTCTGGAAATCTGCTTAGTAAGTTTTGTTCCTCTCCCTTTTGGTAGAAAATATTTTTTTGCAATCATATGTGTGCAGACATCATAAAATCTGGGGGGGGGGCCTGGGGTTCACTAGAAGTCTAGAAGGACAGAAAGCAATGGGGGCCAAAAATCAGACGGTGTTTGTTCTGGCTTCCTGGGCAGGAGAGAGCCGGGTTTGTGGGTTCCCCTGAAGGGTGTGGGCACTTCTGGGGCGATTCTGTATCTGCTGACCCCACTGAGGCAACAACAAGCTAATTGAGGGACAATTAGCATCTCAAGATGTATGTGGATGCACCCAAGGAGAGTAAGTGCTCTGAAATGAGGGTCTTCTTACACACACGGGTCAGTGGTGTCTCTAGGAAATGGTTCACCCTTTGCAAAAGAGTGGTGGGGTAGCAGCACTGGTGATAAGCCTGGATCTGTTTCCATGCCTCCCTCAGCACCCGTGTCTCTCTCAAGGGGCTGCTGGAAGGATGCAGTAAATGATGCCCTGGGAAAGCCTTCTCCCAGCGCTTGGCCCCTGGGGCGTGTCACATATGCAGTGTCTACAGGTAGTGAGCCCAGCACGGCTGCGGGCAAGTGAATTATACAGCATGTTTATGCTTCAGAGTTTTGCATTTCACAAGGGGCTGGCTGCAGCAAATCTTTTTGCGGGTCCCTCCCAGGTTCCCCCACGTGGAAGCACGAGGGGGATGAGGACCCAGGCGTCGGCGGTCCGCCCTTCCTGCTGAGGACACCAGGCCTGCCGCATGCGGGCTGTGACACCCCCATGGCCCGCTCACTCCTGGGCTTCTGAATGATATTGCAGGCTGTGTATTTTGGTTTCTCTTCGTTTCTTTTTTAAAACTAATGTTCTTTGCAGTCCTGGCCATAAAATGCTCGGGTTAGGGACAGGCATGGAAGGGCCAGAGACTAGGAACTCTGTGTAGCAGCCCCTGCTCTGTGAATTGCCCCCAAATGCTTTTTAAAGGTGGACGTTGTCAGAAAAAAACAAAGTCTGCCCACGTTCTCCCCAGTCATCTGATCTTTCCCCTCCTTGGATTTCATGGGACTGATTCGCCCATCCTCCTTTGCTCTGGGGCTCGGTACTTACTGGGAGAGTTTCCAGTTTCAAGGCTAAACACCCTCCCACATGCATTTCATTAAGAAAGTCACTGCTGGACTTGAATTCTAGAAGCTGCTAGATGAGTCAAGACATTACAGTGTAATTCATGTCTAAAAGAAGAGTAACCGGGGTGCACAGAAGGGTCTGGAATCCAATGGATGTGGCCCTCGGTGCAGGGAGGGCAGGCTGGGGCCAGCCCCAGCTCGCCCTCCACATCGCACCTCGGCCGCACCTCGGCCCTCTAGTTGGCTACCGCATCTTGCCCGATTCCCCGGCCATCCCAGGGCCCCAGGCATCTAGCACTCAATGCATCTATGCCCCAGGCTACATCCCACAGAGCCATGTCTCTGAAGACTTTACAGACTGTTCTCAAATGTCAAGCATGGACCATAGGAAACAGAGGTGTGAAACGTGTGTGACAACATGGCCCCCACAGGTCTCCACTGAAGCTTGGACAATTGGACAAGGTATTTTGCCTCTCTGAGTCTCAGTTTCCTCATCTATAAAATGGGTATGATAACAGCCATTTCACTGAGTTGTTGAACAAATCAAATATATGAAGAGGGATGAGCATAGTGCCTGGCCTGTAGTAGGGTCTCAATAAGAGATGGCTAGTGGTATTACTTCTACTTTTAATCCAAAGTCCCCATGGTTACTTGACTCAGCCTCTCTGGCATTCAGAAATGGTAACTGGGGGGAAAACAAAGTCTTTGCGTCTCCTTTTACTGGAGGTCATAGGACAAAGGAGGGACAGTGGTCTTAAGCTAAGCTGGTATGCAGGAGGATAGCCAGCAAGGCCGGCCGGAGCCTGCCACCCTTCCAGACCCCCATCAGAGGGCCTTCAGTCTAGAGGTCAGGTCCAGCCTTGGAAGAGCCTGCAGGCTGCCATCTGCCTGCCTGGGGCCCCAGGAGGGCTCCCCAGGAGCTTCACCCTCGGCTGTAGGTTAGAGGTGCTGGAGAGAGGCCTCTCACCCAGACACACCTGAAGGGAAGCCGCCACCCAACCAAGCCAGCCCTTGGCGCGAGGAGAGCAGGCAAGGGGGAGAGAAAGGAGGGATGAAGTTGAAAGCTACTTACTGGGAGGCCGGGTCTTCCAGCGGGACCCTGAAATAAAGAGGGAAAGAGTAAGGTTGACGAAGGTCACGGTGTTAACACCTGAGCGTCCCACACTCTGCCCAACCAGCTGCGTGGCCTGAAGCCAACTGCGCTCTAGAAGCCTCTGTTATTTTATGAACCTGAAGGCAGGACCTTGATCACTAAGCTTCCTTTCAGTTTTAGCATTCATTCATTCATTCATTCATTCATTCATTTAGGAAAGCAGTTAGTGGGGGTCTCCTCCATGTCAAGCCCAGGGAAGGTGCAAGGAAGAGAAAGACAAGAATGTCCCCTCCCATGTCTCTGCCCCTCGTGACTCAAGGATCATCAGGGCTGTGGGTCTCACTCCCTCCTCTCTTTGAGTCTTTCTGTCTCAGTAAGTGCGATACTCTACTACTCTTTTCCGGCCCTGTGTGGCTCCAGGAGCCTGTCTTCACTGACCACAGCATGGTGGTCTTTCAGCTCTGTCCCCATTACCCTCCTCCTCCTGCTTAGCACAATCCGGGGCACAGACTAAAGGCTCCATGTAATGGACAGGAAATCCCACTGGAAAGAGGAAGACCTTCAACAAAATGTGTATCAGTGCTGATCATTACCATCTGAGCAACATGCAGAGCGGGTGGCTCCGAAACCAAGCAAATCCCAAGAAAATCATGTCTTTTTAGTTCTGGCGCTCAGCTTCCAGATGGATCTGCTACAAGAGGGTGGCTGAGAAACAGCTCAAATGGTGCCTTGGGGGCATCATGGAGCACCTCGTAAAGGGGAGGAAACACCCGCAAAGAGCTTCTGGAGCTGAGACGCAGCGCTGGCAGGGCCGGGGCACGGAGTCCAGGAGAGGTGGTGACAGAGACAGCAGGAAGGATTTAGTTATAAGCACGGGCTCTGGAGTCAGCCTGCCTGTGCTCAAATCCCGGCTCTGTCACTCCCGAGTTGGCACCTTAATGAGCTGTTTGGTCTCCCTGTATCTCAGTTTCCTCATCTTGTAAATGGGAGAACAATGACAGCTGTCTCTTAGGATCACAGGAGATAATGTATGCAAGACACGGGGGCTGGCATACAGCAAGTGCTAAATAAATGCTACCTGTTACAGTTATTGGAAAAGAGCACTGGCAGGAGGTGTGTGGAGCGGGCCTCAGTTTCTCCTTGCGGAGACATTTGCTACAGATGTATTTTCTCTCCTTCCAGACATCCCGCTCTTCCTGTGAAGCCAAGGCAGGACCAGCGTCCCGGGGTGCTCACTGGAACACAAGCCCATCTGCTGCAGGGCTGCTCAGGCAAAGCCGGGCAGCACCAGGAATAAGTCATCCCCCTTCTGGCCCTTGTTCCTGAGGACACCCCGGAGGCGGTGGTGCAGTGACTCAGCCACAGAGAATCGAGGTCAGGGAGTCCTTGGGGAATGCTGGGTAATGGTTCTCATGGGAACAGGATGCATCCCCATCTCTTCACCCTGCTTGATTTTGCCCCCATGGCACTAAAAGGTAAGCTCCCCGGGGGCAGGGATTTTTCTGTTTTGTTCATGAACGTGTTTCCAGTGCCTTGAGGAGTGCTGAGCTCATGGTCAGTCCTTTATTCCTATTTGTGGACCAAGGAACCTGAGGGCGAATGCTCAGAACCTGGGAACTCAGCCTCCTTCTTTCCCAGGCCCCCACAAAGACAGCTCAGGCACCAAATAGCCTCCTTAATCCAGAGTTTTCGCACTGAGCCAGTACCATCTTCCTGTCACTTCTACGTTGCCTGGTCCTGATGCCACCAGGGAGTGGGCAAGACGTGGGGCAGCCACCTCCTTCACATCCCAGGGAAGGGAACAGGCCTGCTGAGGGTTTCCAACCCCACACAGTGGGTCTACCCCAAATAGGGACAGAAGGGACAGATTACTACCACTCCTCTGTACCCACCACCTACTCATCCTACCTCATCTGCACATGGGAGGGACTTCCTTTGGGTCTCAGTACCAGGAAGAGCTGTGTTTCACTCAAGCGCCAGGGGTGCTCCTACCTTCCTGCAGCCTGACTTGAACAACTCTGCTTTCCTCTTTGCTCTGGCCACCAGGAAGCTCGGAGCCCAGTCAGTGGCTCATCTTGCATAAGAGGTTGTCATGTCATTAGCTCTGGATCCTTCCTGCCTCAGCTCTCCACCCTCCTCCATCGTTTCCATATCTCGTTTGTAAATCACCCCAAAATGTTTTTTTTTAGAATAAGGTGGGTAGAAATAGATGAAATAAATAAATTAATAAAAACCACAGAATAATCATTTCCTCTTTAAAATGAAAGGCTTACCAGAATCTTTGTGGATCCTCTAGGGTTTAAATGAGTTAATATATTCTAACCGGAAATATATTCTAACACACACTTGTGTGTGTGTGTATATATATATATAAATACATATATATACATGCAGACACATACCATTACATATATATTCCTCACAACTCCTGGAAGAGGCAGACACTATTATTAACCCCATTTTACAGATGAGGAAACCGAGGCCCAGAGAGGTAAAGCACCTTGGCCAAGGTGACGTAGCTAGAAGTGGCAGAGTCGGGATTCGGATGCAGGCAGTCTGCCTCCACAGCCCATGCCTGCATCACTATGCAAACACAACAGTGCCTAACAGGTAGTAAGGGCTAACTAGGATTTCAGCAAGGATCACCTTCAGTCAGGGTGGCAGCTGGACATCATGTATTTCCCTGTGTTCCTCCGGAGAAAGAGGCCTCCCTACCTCCCTCCGCCTTCTGTTTCAGTTTCACAGTTCCCATTAAGAAGTTCTCTGAAATCTACAGCAGGCGTGGCCCACAGGTGTCAGCTCCAATGCGCAGACTCCAGTGGATTGGCAGCGACTGAGTAAAGCGTTCTGTTAAGAAGCCTCCTGATTGATTAGCAATGTCTGCCATGGGCACGAAGGGTGGGGTGGTGGTATCCACAATTTCTCTACCATCTAAATGTTTCTTGCTGCTACTTAAATCCATCCTCCTTGGTTGTGTTCTCTAGGCAGTGGCCATCCTGTGTCCTTGGGAACCTGGGTCTTCCAACTGGAGGGGCTCCTAAGAGACACTCAGGGTGGCAACAGGCACTGCCACCAACCACCATCTCTCTATCCCTTGCCTCCCTCAACAGCATTCTTCCTTTGCAGGAAGCAGATAGAACAGGGCTAGGAGGTGACTCCCACCCTGGCCAGCTTCCCATTTCCTCCTTGTGGTTTCAACCAGGGAAGGGTGAAGGTGCAGGCCCCGCACAGAGGCCGGGTCGGGAAACTACTTGGGCACCGTCTCTGGCTGGGAACCATCTGGGGGGTGAGGCCGGCAGGTGAGGCTTCATCCCGAGCTGACACTGGCAGCTTGGCCCGGCAGCCTGGGGGTGGCGGGGGGATGGGCCGGGTGTCTGGAGCGGGGAGTTCCCAGGAGTGGGGGAAGTAAGGACTCTTTTTGGCTTTGTCAAGAAAGAAGGGTTTTGAAAAGCAGCCCATTTCCAGCAGGTGGTCTGTTGAAGTTTCCTATGGTGGAGTTTATTTTGGAAGATTGATGACAGGAATTGAGAAATGACATCTAAAACCTGCCATGATAAATCATCCCCCTACTTTTGGGGACTGACACGGTTTTCCTCCCTCTGTAAGCGGCGGTCGGAGAGCTGGGCAGGACGGGCAGCATGGACTCAATGCGCCTTTTCAGGACCAGATGGGACAGTAAATAATGGTCTGACTGCAAATTGGGCCGGCTGCTCTCGAAGGGCAGACGGAGAGAGGACCGACCGTGCAATGGCGGCTCTGAGCAAGGCCAGGGATAGCGCTGCTTTCAGGAACCTTGACAAAGATCTGGTGTGGGGGCTCCCCCTTTCAACTCCAATCTCCAGCTTCCCCCCCCCGCCCAACCCGCCAACAACCTCTGGGCCTTTTGTTGGGGTATCAAATGCTGTCCTCAAAGAAGATGTGCTCCTGTTCTCCGGATCCATTACTTCACGGAGACAGTCTCTTCTCAGGTTCTTTGGAAGCGACTGGGCTCCCGGCCCCGCCCTGGGCCTTAGGGCGACGCCAGGGGAAGGAGCCGGACCTGCGGTAATCTGTGTTGTCTCACACTGTCCAGCCCACTGAAACTGATCTCTCACATCAAAATACCACCAGCACCAGCACCACCAGCAACGACCACCTGTTGACCACCTAAGTGGGCCAGAATGGAGCCGCCCACACAGCAGGGTGGACAGCAGGTCCCGGGGAGCAGTCCACGCAGAGCCACGTGCTGACCTGTCTCCTGAAAGGCCAAGAGACCTTTCAGGACCAGAACTGAGTAGAGATTATCTTTCTTCTTTCTTATACCTGGAGCTTCTTTGAGTCCAGTTGCTTCCTCTGGGGACAAAGGAGCTGGGCCTAACAATGGGGCAAGCCAGCCTTTCAGATTGAAATTGGGACCCGCTGTGCCCCAGGGGCAGCCATTGTCTTGCCCTGGAGAGGTGCAGAGGTGGTTGGAAAGTGAAATGGAGGCCTCCTTCCCCGTGTCAGCATTCTGGAGGGACCCCGCAGAGTTGTGCGGAGAGTACAGGGGCTCCCCTGGAAGACGGCGGGCCCAGCTGTCAGTCCCCCCTCCCAGGGCCCGGTTACCAGCAGGGAGCGAGGCCTTTCAGATGTGCTAGCCCCGGTTGCGGCTGGAGTTACTTACAGGAGGTCCTGAAAGAGACAGAGAAAATGCCAGGGTCAGTGTCACTGCTGGAAGCACAGGCAGACCTGCCTCAGAAGCAGCGTCCAAAAATCCTTCGGCTAAGGGGTTTCCATCTGGTCTTCGACGTTTGTATTTTCCTGGCCCACTTTCACCAAAATAATCTCTCCCCCTTTATTTCGTCTCCATATTTTCATTATTGGATGAGAAATCTAGAGGTCTGGGCCCCAGGCGCAGCCCAGCTCGGGCCCTAACTTCCCGCCCCGTAAAATGGGCTCCTCGGGGGCCCGCCCCAACCTGGGGACACAGTTGCTTTGCAGAACACAGGGCCGTGGGCACCGAGGCAACATTGCAGAACATCAACGGT